ATCTTTCTTTTCATATCATTTCTTTTTTATTATTTTTCCTATTATAAGATTATGGTAAGACTTATTTATACTCTCGTTCATATCAATGAAACAATGAAGAATTCTGTATTCCGCATTATTTTGAATCTAAACATAATATCAGAGCAAATCGATCACCTTCTGAATCTGCTAAACCACAGTTTGGCTACTGGCACTACAAATTGTTCGATGGTACATGCAGGTAAAAAACTAAACTCTTGGATTATTGATTCGGGAGCTTCTGATAATATGACAAATTTACACTATTTATTTGATTCATACATCCTATGTCTGACGATAGTTTATCTTCCATTGCTGGAAAAAGAAACATTAATCTGTCCAAGAGTATAGGTCTTAAATATGTACTCCATGTTCCTAAACTCAAATGTAACATTCTATTCGTCAGCAAACTTTCAAAGGATTATAACTGTCGTATAATTTTCTGTGAATCTTCTTATTTTTTTCAGGACCATAAGTCGGGGATGATGATTGGGAAAACTAAAAAGATATGAGGACTTTACTACTTTGAGGAGACTGTTCATAGTAAAAAAATGATTCAAGCTTACAACAGTATGGGTTTGAACCCTACAATAGAAAAAATAATGAATTGTATATTAGACTAGATCATCCAAGATTTTCTTATATAAGACATTTATTTTCTAATTTGTTTAAGGGTGTTAATTGTGCTTTACTTTAATGTGAAATGTGTTATTTGACAAAAAGTCATCGCATAAATTTTGTTCCAAAATCATACTATCCTTCAAAACCTTTTTTCATGATCCATAGCGTATGTTTGGGGACCTTCAAAAGTCAAAACATTATCTGGGAAAAGAGAATTTGTGTCTTTTATTGACGATCACACTAGAATATGTTGGGTTTATCTTATAAACAAAAAATTAGAGGTTGAAAAACTCTTTAAAGATTTTTACAACTTGATTGAAACTCAATTTGAAACTAGAATATGCATCCTTAGATCCAACAGTGAAACTAAATACTTTATTAAATGTGTATGGGAGTTTTTTATAAACAAAAGTATAATTCATCAATCTACTTGTCGGAACACTCCATAACAAAATCAAATTACTGAAAGAAAAAATAGATATTTACTTGAAGTTGCTCGGGCTATTATGTTTTTAATGAACGTTCTTAAATAAGTATGGGGGGACGTTGTTTTAACAGCATCATATTTAATAAATCGAATGTCAACTCGAGTTTTATAATATAATCCTCTAAACAAACTGAAAAAATAGTATTTTAATTCTACAAATGTTTTCAAATATTCCTTTAAAAATCTTTAGAAGCACTTGTTTCGTTCATATTCCGGATAAATTTCGATCAAAATTGGATCCAAAATCTGAAAAATGCATTTTCCTTGGATATGCTTTAAACAAAAAGGGGTACAAATGTTTCAAAATTGTCACAAAAAAACTTACATTAGTATGGATGTGATCTTCATGGAAAAAATTATCTTCTTTCATAAAAGTCCACTTCATGGGGAGTATAATACAAATGAAGAAAATGATTTTTGGCAAGTTTTTAATCCATTATCAAGAGTTGTTCTAACACCAAGTACACCTGAAGTCCGTGAAAACTAAGAACCAAAAATAGTTGTTGAAAATAATACAAACCAGGAGAATAACAGTAAATGAAGAGATGGATGCTCTTTCGAAAAATGGAACATGGGAAATTGTCACTCTACCAAGAGAAAAGTCTACTGTTGATTGTAAATGGGTCTTCACTACTACAGTCAAAGCTGATGGGAGTGTCGAAAGATATAAAACAAGATTAGTAGCAAAAGGATTCACTCAAACTCACGGAATTGACTATCATGAGACATTTGCTCCGGTAGCCAAGATCAATTTCATTCGTGTCCTATTGTCCATAGCAACAAACCCTGATTGGCTCTTGCATCAACTCGACGTAAAAAAATGATTTTCTAAACGGTGAATTAGAGGAGGAAGTATTCATGGATCTTCCACCAGGATTTGAGAAGAAGTTTGGAGAAGACAAAGTGTGCAAATTCAAGAAATCTCTGTATGGGCTCAAGCAATCTCCTCGCGCCTGGTTTCAGAGGTTTGAAAATGTGATTACAAATATGGATACACTCAGAGTCAAGCTGATCATACTATGTTCTACAAACATTCAGAAACTGCTAAACTCGCTATGCTCATTGTCTATGTCAATGATATTATCCTTATAGGAGATGATGCTAGGGAAATTGAGACATTGAAAGAAAGATTGTCCACAAAATTCAAAATAAAAAATCTTGGAAATGTAAAGTATTTTCTTGGTATTGAGTTTGTCAGATCTAAGTAGGGGATCTTTATTAATCAGCGAAAGTATGTACTCGACTTACTCAGTGAAACTAGAATGCTTCGGTGCAAATCAGCTGACACCCCGATTGAACCAACAAAAAGGTTACAAGTGACAAATAAAATAGATGGTGTTAACAAAGAACAATATCAGAGACTAGTGGGAAGACTAATCTACTTGTCACCCACTCGTCCTGGTAAAGCATTTGTTGTCGGTATAGTAAGTCAGTTTATGCATTCTCTAAATACTCATCAGTTGGATGCTATATATCAGATCCTTAGGTATCTAAAAGGAACGCCAGGAAAAGGACTACTATTCAAGAAAAATGTGCACTTACAGATAGAAGTACTTACAGAGTCGGATTGGTCCGGGAGTGTAACAGATAGAAGGACAACCTCAGGGTGTTGCACTTTTCTAGGAAGAAATTTAGTAACCTGGAGGAGTAAAAAGCAAAGTGTCGTGGCAAGAAGCAGTGCTGAAGCTGAATTCAGATTTGTGGCTCATGGGATATATGAAGTTCTATGAATTAGAAGAATTCTCAAGGAGTTAAAAATTTATAGTCCGCCACCAATAAAGGTGTATTGTGATAATAAGTCTGTCATCGTCATCGCCCACAATTCTGTCATTCATGATAGAACAAAATACGTAGAGATAGACAAGCACTTCATCAAAGAAAAAATTGACAGAGGAGATATCTGCATGATATATGTTCCTTCTAACGACCAAGCTGCACATATTCTAACAAAGGTTCGTCACAAAAAACAGTTCGATTGTTTAGTGTGCAAGCTAGCTTTGAAAGATATCTTCATGCCAACTTGAGTGGGAGTGTTAAAATATTTAATTTAAATTACAACATTTATTTTCCTTTATGTTAAGAATTATAATAGGAATAATTTATTCTTATAAGAAGTTATGAGGAATAAATTATTTCATTAATATAATGAGATATTTATTTTCCTATTTTATATTTATTTCCTTGGATTAGAAAAGATTTATTTTCCTATTTTACATTATTTTCTATATCTCCTAATAATTAATATGAATTAATTATTGGATATATCAAGTGATATATCTTTCTTTTCATATTATTTTTTTTTTATTATTTTTCTTATTATAGGATTTTTGTAAAAGTTATTTATACCCCATTCATATCAATGAAACAATGAAGAATTCCGTATTTCGCATTATTTTGAATTTAAACATATTCTTACATAAGAATAATGTGGTATGTATGTAATATATATGTTTTTTTTTTTTTTTTACATAGAGAATATATAATACAAGATTAATTATGGGTTCTCTTTATGTAACTTATTAAGAGTGTTCAACCTCAATCTTAAACTCACAAAATCAATTAGCTAGCTAGGCTCATTAATTACATTGATAAGTACATCAAATCCTATCCCATGCTTTATTATGGTCTTATTATATAGCATTTTATATAGAAACAACATTAAACCACAATTATATATATGTTTGATGAGTGCTAGAAATTTCACGGCAGTATAGTAGTAGATTATCATCTTAACGTGGTACGAATATTCAACAGACACTCAGAAAAGAAAAAACAACTAATAATAACAGTATAAGTTTTTACATGAAAAACCCAAAAAGAGAAAAACAACGGAGTTTGACCCGGCTGAAGTGTTTCACTATAAAAAGAAGAATATGGTTGCAACCATTTGTCCCATTGGCAGAAATAAGTTAATAGGTTTTTCAAGTTATAACGTCGATGTGTTGATGAATTTGTTGTTAGGAACAACGACGTCTAGTTGGTGGTGGTCGACGGAGGTTGGTGATCATTGAGGACAATCAGTGGTGGTCGACGAAAATGAGTGGTGATTAACAAAGATCAATGGTGGTCGATAGCAGTTGACGAAAGTCAACGATGGTCGGCGATGATGATGTTGGACTTTAGCTCATTCTCAAAGCTTTAAGCTCTTAGCCAAGCCTTGAGTTCTTTCTCCTCCCCCCTCTCATGAGAGAGGTGAGGTTCTATTTATAGAGCTTTGGGTGTAATTCATGTTGGAATATAAATCACTTTGATCGAACGACCTTGAGAAATTCCTTGATCAAATGATATCCGATGGACATTTAAGTGTCTTAATGATATTGAAATTGGGTGATCTTGGACTCGGTGGATTTATCTTGTCGAGCCGGTAAGTTTGACTCTATAATTTTGCTAAAATTGGAGCTCTCCATTACACTTAATCAAAGTTTGAACATTTTTTGCTCAAAGATATTGCTTTGAGATCTATATTATGTCTCGAGAGTCGTGCAAGATGATAGAAATTTGTTCATGACATGTCAATGTTGCAGAAAAAATTGGACAACAACAAGTAATAATCTTATACATCTGCTAATATTATAAATAAGACTCACTAAATTCCAGAGTGGAGCCATCTTTATTCTCTAAGGTGATTAAAATCATCAAATATTTAAAATTTTCTAAGTATTGGGTAAAAAAAAAAAATTTACTGAGAGGAGGCAACATTATTAAATTCCCCAAACTTTATAAAAAAAAATTATTTTGATTTATTATTTGTATAAAAAATCTCAAATTTTAGGGTGGGCACAATCCAAGATATAACATAGTTACTTCAAAAAAAAAAGGAAAAAGATGTCTATAAGAAACCAAAAAAGAAAGAGGGAAAAAAATATTTACGTACTTCTTTAGGGTTTTATCAATATTCCACCAATGCCCAGCATTGAAGACAATGACATCAGCACCAACCCACTTGTTGGAATCCCAATGAGGCGTATCGATGTGAATCGCCCTACGAACAATGTTGGGAGAGTGTGGAAGAGGTCGACCGATGGCCACAAGGAAAGGTGCTCTGTAGTACTCAATGGTTAGGTTATAGTCTTCGAAGAGAATGATAAGATATCCTTTGTGTTTGGAGATTGGATTCCCATTCTTCTCATAAACCCTAGTTTGATTTGTGACACCTATCCTTAACATGCATACTAGAGATTCCCATTGATTCCTCCCTATTGAATCCCCCACAAATAGTATTCTCTTATTTTTGCTCTTTTCTAGCATCATGCTAGCATTGAACCTGTAATTTTTTTTATTGCAACATAGTGTATTTTAGCAATTTTAAATATTTGAAATATAAGGCAACAATGAAATCAAGATATATATATATATATATAAGATTGGCAAGAGACTATTATATGAGCCCAAATCAACCTCATGTGTCTAATCACTCGACGGATCCGCATACCAGCGGGATCGAATTCTTAATCTCAAGGGGCTTAGAACTGACATAGCATATGTCAACCAAAGAGTCGGAGAACGCGGCATAATATATATATATATA